TAGGGTTTAGGGGTTGGGGGGGTTAGGGGTTGAGGTTTTAGGGTTTGAGGGTTTAGGGGATGCGTCGTTTTTTATGCGACCTTTTTGGGTGTTATAGGGTCTAGGGGTTAGGGGTTTGGGGTTGAGGTTTTAGGGGTTTAGGGTTTAGGGTTTAGGGGTTGAGGCTTTAGGGTTTTAGGGTTTAGGGGTGGAGGGTTTAGGGCTTATAGGGGTTGAGGGTTTATAAGGCTCCGTTTTTGCGGTTCTAGCAAGGGCTTCTGTAGGGTTTCTATCGGGTTCCAAAAGTGTTTCTCTAGGATTGCAAGGTTTCCAGGTAGTACAATCGAAACAGGATGTACTTACGGTGGAACCCAGGCGATCAGCACTGGACGTGGTCCGGCATTTCACAGTTTTGGCACGAGAAGAGCTCCAAGACCGGGCGTGTGAAGTGGAGCATTCAGCGATCAGGGGCGCCAGCCGCAGGAGGCTGGGAACTAGGATTAGGGGGACCCTTGGCGATATAGACCCTCTCAATAAGGTCCCTTTAAGTCCTAAACCCTAAACCCTAAACCCTAAACCCTGCCTTTAAGGGGTACCCCTAATAATACTACCTAGAGGCACGGTCACCGCAGAGTCGGCTCTTGGGGTTCTGTGCAGCCACGGGAGCTTTGCACCGAAGTCTGCAGTGGCTGGGTGCGGTTTAGGCTTTAGGGTTAGGGCTTGTTGCTTCGTAAGGCGGGTTTCGAAAGGGCCGTTTTCGGATCGCAGTACGGGTTAACGGAGAAGTGGTATATGGAAAGAGGAGTTGTATGCTCGAAGTTGACTTCCGTTACAAGAACCCTGACTGTGGTGATCTAGGGCCTCCAGGGTATGTAGTTGCAAAATCCGATTCTGTCAGTGTTAGACTAAAGCAAGCCCTAAAAGTTGCACCCTCAACCCTTAATAGCGGTCTAAGCTCCTTTGCAAGAATCTAAGAACCCTAAACCCTAAACCTAGGTTGTCGTGGTGCAGAGCCCAGATCGCTTTAGCGCGAACCTGTGGCATCGCATGGCTGTAGTGTTCGAGGCCTGGGTGGTACCGAGAGTTCTGCAGCTGAAGGAGAAACTCCCCGGGGAGATCAGTATTTCGTACCACGACGGTTATGGTTTAGGGTTTAGGGTTTAGGGTTTAGGGCACGTACTACAGGAGCCTTAATAATTACCTACACTATTTTGGGTGTTCCTTATAGGTATTGTCTAATGGGCCCTAAAACCCCCATTAAAGATTATTAAGGTACCACGTACCACGTCTGAAGAACATCACTGTGGAGACTGACCCCGGTCCTTTTCCCTGGCAGCTCTTGGGCCCGGTGGCTCCAGAGGACTGTGGCTACGAGCAGCTAGGACTCCCCAGTGGGTTTAGGGTTTAGGGTTTAGGGTTTTAGGGTTTAGGGTTTAGGGTTTAGGGTTTAGGGTTTAGAATCCCCTTTCCACTGATCTTATGGCGTCCCTTCACCGCGTATTCCGGGGGAGTCTCCCCCATCAATACCCTCCTTAAGGGGATACTGAAGAGCCTAGGCATAGGTCCCATAGTAGTTCCTTTTTGGGGATTCATATTTAGAATCCTATAAGGTAATCCCAAGAAAGGAACTACTATGGGGCCTATGGGTAGGCCTCACACCCTAAACCCTCAACCCTAAAACCCTAAACGCTAAAACCGTAAAACCCTAAAACCCTAAAACCCTAAAACCCTAAGCCCTAGGCATCACATCCTCGCTCCCTCGGATGGCTTCCTCTGGGACTTGGCCTGGGATTTGCCGCTGACGTGCGTGCACGCCTCCAACCTCTGGCGCTCCTTCCAGTCGGCCCCTGGGGTCCTTGTTAAGGGTTTAGGGTTTAGGGTGTAGGGTTTAGGGTTTAGGGTGTAGGGTTTAGGGTTTAGGGGTAGGGTTTAGAGTGTAGGGTGTAGGGTTTAGGTTTTTAGGGTTTAGAGCAACCCTCACCCCTAAACCGTGTCTTTTAAAGTTAATGCAACCCTCAACCAGCAGGGTAGCTCTCTAAATAAGGGCCCCTTTCAAAGTACTTATAAAAAGGACCTCCCAAAGGGACCCTAATTTAGAGAATAGGGTTCTGGAGTATACCATACTTGAATACTTTGTTTTGGGACCTGCTCCTTAAGGGAACCATTATGAAATTAAAGTCTATACTTTTTTCTCCCTGGTTACTTCAAAGTTAAAGCAACCCTCAACCCTAAACCCTACTCCCTGGGTTCCCGAGTGGTGGTTCGTCTACTGGGTTCTGAAGTACCATACTTTAATACTTGTTTGGGGACTTGTTCATTAAGGGGACATTACGGCATAGAAGTTTATATCTTCTTGTCACTGGTTACTTCAAAGCTTAGTTTAAACGCCGAGTTTAAAAGGAATGCGGAAAGGACGCCTTGAACTAATCCTTTAAGGCAGCTGTAAGCGTGTTTAGAAGAAATGTTTTTTGTGGGTTTCAAGAGTTTCGGAGCGTGTTGTACTATTAAAGACTATCAGGGAAACAGGGAGCCCTATCACAGAATGGATTTGTCAGACCCCCTCTGTTATCCCCTATGTCTTTTTGTTCGCAGGTTCCCTCTCAAGCTTGAATTTCGTGCAAAAGGTAAGTGGGAGTCTCCGAAAATAGGGGGTACCTTATTTAGGGGTCCTTATAATAAGGATCCTACTGTTTAGGGTACTATATTAGGGTCCCCTATTTTCGGAAACTCCCAAGTCTCGTTTAGAGGAGGTTGCTGGGGGACCCAGGCCCTCTATACTGGTGTCGGCCTGGATCCAGAGACAGATTTCGGAGGCAGAAGAGTCTGCCGCTTAGCAGCTGACGTTGCAAGCTTTCAGTTGTTCGGGGTTTGGGGGATCAGGGAACCCTGAAACCATGAAGCCGAAACTTGATTTTTTTTCGGTTGCGAACTCCGAGACTAAGGCTATGTAGGCAGGCCGGGAAGATCCACCCGACAGCTGAGTGACAAGAGTTTCCATGCATTGAAGGAGGCTGCCGAGAGAATGACGCTGGATGGCCAAAGTTTGGTCTTCCGTTCTCTAGGCTTCAATACCTCTATGCCTATTCAGCAGCAAGCCAAGATGGTGAGCGGCTGTGACATCCTCGTCGGAATGCATGGAGCCGGCATGATGCACTCCATTTGGATGTATCCTGGCAGCGTTGTCGTTGAGATTATGGACCAGGAGCACGAGAGAAGTGCTTACTACCGAAACGTTGCACACTTGTCTGGACATGTCTACCTCAGGCACAACCAGAGAGAGCTCGGAGAGAATCCCGAGGTTTTCTGGCATTTGATGATTAGTGCAACCGAGATCATCTCCAACAAGGGGAATCACTCTCGGCACGCGAGCTTCAGAAAATCGCAGTGACAGTGCTCAGCGTGATCCGCATAAGCCTTGTAAGGACCTGAAGTGACTGCACGGGTACCGAAGGTACTCTAGGAGTTAAACCCTGAAAGGTGATGACAAGTACAGACTGCGCTTGCAAGTACCATGACATCCACCCTCATCTCCCGCCGCTTCCCCTCCGACCCGTACTGCTTCCTGGGATCCGTCTTATCGTCGGCAGCGGGCAGCTAGCTGGAGACGAACAAACGCAGGTAACTGCATCACTTTTGTTGAGTACTTGCGCTTCCTCAACCCAGAAACCCCAAAATGGATACTCCCCTTACTACTGCAAACCCATATAGCTGTGTTGGTGCGAGTGTTCTTCCTTAACCATGCAAGCTACGACATGGGCTTGAACGAGTAGAGGATGGTATCTGGGGACTCCAAGGGGACATTCTTGCGATGTAAAGAGTCACATCCCTGTAAGACTTATCTGCGGGATGGAACCCGGAATACTAACGGTGGGCTCCGCGATCTAGCAAGTACAGCTTATACTGGGATTTCTTACCTGTCAAGACAAGGCCCTGCCCCTTCACAAAATTAGGCCGAACCCTCCAAAGAGCCTGCGGATTTAGTTAGTAAGCCAATAAGCGACCGAGGACCCTAGACCCCAAGCTCGCGCTTTTTGTGAGGTAAGGCTAGTTTACAGCTGTCGGGCAAGATGTGCATTTGCGGTCGCATCTGACATTTGTGCTGAAGCAGGCTTGCCACACTGTCCCTTTCGTTTGCTTCGATGATCCAGCAATCTCGGATTCTGCGTGTTGCCGCGCTGCTCATATGCGTGACCGTTGCTTTGCATAGTGAACTGTTCGCAGCTCCAAAGACCAAGAAGGACGAGCAAGACCCATCGCCGCCACGACCAGCACCGGACGCAGACAAAAACAAGGAGCGACTGCGCCTAGAGACAGTTGAGCCCTCAGTTCCGGACTACCCCTTCGGACTGTTTTCGGCGGTGGTGGCTGCCTATGTTTATTTCTCCACCACCAGCCCGGAAAATGCGGGGTCCATGCCTCGGAACCTGGAGGACTATTTTTAGGGCTTGGGTTGATTTCCATGCTCTGTTCGGAAGCCGTCTGTGCTTTCAGTGGGTCCTGAAAAGGATCGAGGGACTGCAGGTAGCGAAGTCGTATACTAGCTGCATCTGCCTGGATGTGCTCCTTGAGTTCTGAAGACATAGACACAGGGAAAGACAGACATGAAGCTCTGTCTCATCATCGCGCACCCAGCCTGCCACGACCACTCCGGGACTTGGAACATACTGGGAATCTGTGGAACATGCCCACAACCAGGAGTGACGATTACAGGACAGTTTCCGTCTGCGGTGTGCGGTGAAAAGACACTACCCAGATTCTGTTCATGTCGCTTCCGTTGCTGGTCCATTGTCATTAAAAGTTGAAGTGGGATCTGGGATGCTAGAGCCGGGAAGTTCGGCGAAAACCGCAAAGAAACTAGACCGCTGCTAAATTTCAGCTCGCAAAGTCCATGAACAAAACATTTCCCTTCCACCAAAGACAGAAGGATAATATAGGGGCTTAAACAGTTACCTATACTATTTTGGGGGTTCCTTAGTATAATTACAGTATCATGTCTAACTGTTAAGGCCCCTACATTGCGCTTCGCTCCTAATCTCCCCCAAGGGTCCATGGACCTGGGCTTTAGGGTTTAGGGTTGGCGATAGTGTCTGCCCATGGCATCGAGCCGTTTCAAGTATCGAACTTGTTGAACCCTAAACCCTAAACCCTAAACCCTAACCCTAAACCCTAAACCCCTAAACCCCTAAACCCCTACTATAATCTTCCTGAGGGCGATGCCAACTTCGTCTTGTTGAATCAGTCATGTCTACCAGCGAATTTGATGGTTCCAATGCTGTGCTCTGTACACTTTGGGTTATTCACTTTTCTCGGAGTTACGTGAATTATGTTTTGCTGATACCTCGAGGCTACGACTAAGACAGATTGCGACAGTGCATGCTGTGGTGCTGCTCATGATTGCGCTGGCGGTTGTGATGATGATGACGATGACCATGATCGAAGGCGACGGTGAAGATGTGAGCACATCCTGTGCTTAAATGCCAGTGGCGAGCGAAGCAAAACACGCGATAACGTGCTAAGCTTGACTTCCATGGCCAGACCTGCAAGCCCAGGTCAAGTGGCCTGGTCTGTCAGCGTGGTGTCGGCGCTTGGATGCAGGTCAAACTCTCTTTGTCAAGGACGGCTGCCCCCCTAACTTTTCATTCCAGAACTTACTACTACTACTACTACTACTACTACTACTAGTACTAGTACTACTAGTACTAGTACTAGTACTACTAGTACTACTACTACTACTACTACTACTCGTACTAGTACTAGTACTA